TTTGAGACATCCTGTATAAAACTCCCGCATTTGGAGTACACTACGTGATTTTTTTATGCTAAAAAAAACAACTTTTTCCTTTAGCAAAATTGCGTGCGACAAGTAGTTTTTATCAAATTAGTAAACCAAATTAAAAGTGATGAATGAGCGCGCGTATGTACGTAGCCGTCAAGGCCGGCGTGCGTTCCTCAGGCCGATGCGGCCTGGTACCTAATCTTTGACAACTTCACGTACTATTGTTTAAAATATGATAAAATATGATAAAATATGATAAAAGTTAACAAAATCAGTGTTGTTTTCATCCTTTAACGATTTAATAAAAAAATTGTTTGATTTCGTAGCATTATCTCGAAATAAAAATAAATGTTAATAATATAGTGTGTGAACTGAGCATTCTATTATTTTAATTACTGCTCAATTGCATATAAAAAAATATTGAATTTAACGAATTATTTAGACTTCATAAAATTTTTTTGTTAGTTTTAATTATTTGTTAATTTCTTTTTTTCGTTTAATTTATTTTTTAATTATTTTTTATTTTGGAAGATTTGCCATTAAATATACGAATCAATATGCCGGAAATATTTCAACTTACGCAAGATAGTTTTATTCACAGAATTAATGTATACAAATAAAAGGATTGCACTTCGAACATCTTTTATAAATTTAAAATTTTAATCAGCTCTTTTCAGAACTACAACTATTATTATTAAACTTAACTATTATTATTAAAACTTACGAATATCTCAGTACATCACAAATGCTTACGAATTGTGTTTTCTATTTTATTGTTTTAATCGTGTAACCAATAGAATGTTTTAACAGAATATGTAACGCTTAATAAGGAGAAATTGAACTTTTGAACTTTTTAACAATTATAAATAATTTAATCAAATTGTTTTTTATGAAGGAAAATTTTTTGCAGAGCATATATGCAATATGTATAATACTTTAAATACGGTTATTTCAAAATATTTAAAATATTTTTATAATATTTTTGACATATTTTTAAAACAATTATTTACATAATGTCTAAATTATAACTATCAAAATTATTTATTTTATCAAATATAATTTTTCATATTTTTCTTACTTAAATAATTTTAGCTTTTTATAATTTTTTTAGCTTCTTTGATACAAGATATTAAAAATAATTTTACACATTTACGAAATATGTGAAAAAGTTTCAAGATTTCGGTACAATCGTTATTAAAATTTTATGAGATTATGTAATTATTTTAATATTATAAAGATAAATATTATTATAGTATAATCTTTTGTTAATTTTTTCTGAGAAAATAAAAAGAGAACCAGCTTTTTCAAAATATCTTAAATTATAAATTTAAATATTTTATCTTTAAACACTATTATCAATCAATTTTTTTACTTTTCGTGATTACGTACTCACGTAATTAATAAGTATTCGTTAAATTCAGTATTTTTTAATTGTCATATGCAATTGCGCAATTATCAAAAAATATATTAAAAAATAATTAAAATAATAGAATGCTCAGTTTATATACCATATAATTTACATTTATTTTTATTTCCAGATAATGCTACGAAATCAGAGATTTTTTTTATTGAATTGTTACATAAAGGATGAAAACAATATTTATTTTGTTAACTTGTATTATATCTTAAACAAGTACGTCAAAGTCGTCAAAGATTAAGTATCAGGCCGCGCCGGCCTGAGGAACGTGCGCCAGCCCTGACAGCTACGCATATACCGCAACGCGCTCATTCGTCACTTTTAATCTGGTCCACTGTAAAAACTACTCGTCGCAATTTTGCTAAAGGAAAAAGTTGCTTCTTTTGGCATAAAGAAATCACGTACTCCAAATGCGGGAGTTTTGGGACACCCTGTATATATATATATATATATATATATATATATATATATATATATATATATATATATATATAGTATATATATATAACTAAATAATAAATAATATATATATATAATATATATATAATAATAGTATATAACAACATATATATATATATATTATAATATATATATATATATGTATATATATATATATATATATAATATTGTGAACATATTGCAAAAATATAAAAACATTACATATGATAAATCATATATTAAATAAAAATTGTGTAATAAACCAACACATTATATAATTTACAATACATTTTTTTATAAAAATATATAATTCTATATAAGTATATTCGAGCGTAAATTATATATAAATATATAAAAGATATAAATATATTTTTTTAATTTTTGTAAATATAATATAAATATAAATATAATTGTAAATATATTTAAAAAATTTTATTTTTTTATAAAATATTTATTATAAATTACATACTGTTGTATAATATATAGTACTAAATAATTTTAATTTAGTATTTCATTTGTTATTAATTTATACTCTTTTTACTATTTTTGTAATATACATATATTTTGTAATATACATAACATGTGTAATAGAACTACACATGTTATATAGGACAAACTGTACCCAAATAAATAAAATATTCTTAGATTTTATAAAGAAAATAGAATGCATTTTATTATTTGCATATATGTTGCGCATGTGTGCGTGTGTGCACATTTTTACATTTAATCAGTTTCGATATTATTTACTAAAGACATGACGACTAATTTATTATTATTATTTTTAAACGTAATAGTAATACATTTATTTGCAATTTCGTTAAGTTGGCAACACGAAATATCGTCAGATTTTTCGACGATATATGAAAATTGTTGAGATGATATATTGCCACTTTTATATAATTGTTCGCGATGAAGAATTCGTAACCTATTACAAAATAACACATACTTTTCGCCTGCAAGTGTTTCTACACTACATAAATATAATATTAGAAGTATGGATTTCTGTTTTGTTATGCTATTCGATCTCTTTATTAATCTTGAATAATTCGCTCCGTGGTACAAAATGTTTTTATAAATAAACCTCAAAAGTTTTTACAGTATCATTAATACGTTTTCTCATTAAAAATTTACGATATTTTTCAATTAAATTTAATTGCTTTTCATGTCAGGAATGCTCTTAAGGTATCTTCATATTCGAGACATTTTTGTACTTTACATTCGTTCATAATGGAATGAAAAACAACTTTTCCTTTATCACTACAATTTTGGTGATTGAAAACAGTATTCTGTTTAATATAATTAAAATGAAAATAGGATTTATAAATTTGTTCGGGTACAAATTGAGTACCATCAAATGAATTTTGTAAAATACGGTTGAAACTTTCGAAAGAAAAAGTGGACTATGCCCAAAGTGCACCAAATTTTTTAACCGCTGCCGGTATATGTAATAATAAGTGAATATTGTAGTTCATAAAATGTTCACTGTACAATTGTTCAACGTCTAGTACAAATTTCCGAATTGCAAAAGTAGCGGTAATGTATTCGTCATTAGAAATTTTTGTCTTCAGAAAAATGTGTATGTTATAAACGTATAGTAACCAATGCTTAAAGTGCAACAAGTTATTTTTGTGACAATAATCCATCCAAACAGCTTAATGAATAATATAATAGGAAATTTTTAAATTCGGATGCCTTCCACAATTTATAAAGAGAAATGGATTGAGGATTTCTTGTTTTAGAAGGAGGTTTTAGAAGGAGGTTTTATATTGGTTAATCAAACAGCGCTTCATGTTTGCATAAAGATCACATTTTTTTGTGATTTTTGGAGTCAAACCATGCGTTAACAAACTATTTAATTTCTTCTTCTGTAATACTATGCAGATATTCTGGTGGAAAAGATGATATAATATCAATTTATTATTAAATATAATAGATAATAAATAATTATTATTAAATATAATAGATAAAAGTGCTATAATGGATGGACCCTTAATTCCTTTCATATGTTTTGAATTTAGCAATGCTTTTTCTGCCTGTATTTTGTAATGTCTTTTTGTTCGCAATGTGTGTACATCATTGCAATAGACATTTTTGTGTCCCGTTTATCATCAACCCAAATCTGCTTATCTTTATGATAACAATAGGAGCATCCATACTTTCCTGTTTCATGCGTTGTATCATTGGCCTTGCGATAGTATCAACAGGAGCCACAAGAATGTGAATGTGTATTTGAATTGGTTCTTTATGGATAAATGTGATGCTTTGAAAACTGTGATTATGTAAATCAATTTTCGGTAAAGTTCTTCGGTAAAGGGTTTCAAGAAAGTACTCATAACGGATGTAGCAGAATCGAACCATAATCCGATTATCATCATGTGATGTTTACGCAGACGATATGGCAATTCGTTGATTGTTATTAAAATAGGCTAAATAGATCACGAAGAAGAATTGAATAATTGAACATCATCAGTGTTCCACTGTATTATGTCATTTATTCCAATGATATTTTTGAACTTCAATTTTTGATAGAATGTACCGTTTGTAATGTCAATTTCCATATCACTGTTTTTTCGAAAATGCAGAAAATCTTTGGTATTTATTAGTATAATTAACTGGTCTTTTAAGGGAAGATATATAAAATATTTCCTATATTTTTTAGTTTCTGTCGATTATAAACTTTGGCGCAATTATTACATTCAATAGTAACTTCTGGATCAGCAAAATGTAAAATGGTAACACATACAATCTGAACAATAGTAGTATATACAAGCATTACTAATCAGGAATGACTTCAGAAATAAATGTTTGAATACATGGCACTTGCGTAGCAATCAATTACTTTGATGAAATCCTGCAAAGCAGCGTCGGTGAAATGATGACGAAGAGCCAAACTCATTATGAGGATTTCACTTTCTTCCTTCGTGAGGTCGCAATCTTCGTACAATACTTCTCGCAACTGCAAAAGAAATGAAAAATAATAATTCTTTTACTAATATTCAAAGATATTATTTTTAATTATTTGAAATAATTTAATTTGAAATATAATTTCTGTATTTGAATCAGCGATAATTTCACTCATTGCCAGCTCAGCTCTTACATAAAAGACTCCAACACATTAAAAACAATAAATGACAAGTTTTTCTTAATATTATATTTTTCTATATATAATAATTAAATACTAAATAATAATTAAATTATCTAAATCTGGAAAATGCAAAAAGTCATATGACACTGAATATATATTATACGTATAGATAGATAGATTTATTGTTCCCCTCAGGGTTACAAAAACAGAGAAAAAAATCCGTACAAATCCGTTACGCAATTAACTTAACCTAACTTAAAAGTAACTTAACCTAACTTAAAAGTAACTTAACCTAACTTAACCTAACTTATAACTACCGTCGCTCGCTACACACACGGAGGCCCGGGTGGGACCTCCGCTTCCATCGCAGGCTTTACTCCAAAAGCAAAACACG